CTGGGTAGGGTAGTCTTGGTTGTAGGTCCTTGCTTTTCATCACTTTGCATATTTTGTGCCAGTCCCTTCTGGCTTGGCTTGCAAAGTGTCTGTTGAGAAATCAGCTGACATTGCCTTAGGGGAACTCCCTTGTAAGTAACTAACTGCTTTTCTCTTGATACTTATAAGATTCTCTGTCTTGAACCTTTGGCATTTTAATTATGATATGTCTTGATGTGGGCCTCTTTGTGTTCATCTTGTTTGGGACTCTGCGCTTTCTGGGCTTGTGTATCTATTTCCTTTGCCAAGTTAGGGAAGTTTTTCATCATTATTTCTTTTTTTTTTTTTTTACCTTTTTAAAAAACATTAGTTTCAGGTGTACAAAACAATGTACTAGTTAGACATTTACACCCCTCACAAAGTAATAACCTCCCTCCCCCAATCTATTACCCCTCTGACATTGTATATAGTTGTTATAATTCAATTAATTCTATTCCCTGTGCTGTACTCCATATCCCATGACTATATATATACATATATATAATTATAGTTAACATTCAGTATTCTTTAGTTTCAGGTGTGCACTGCAGTGGTCTCCCTGATAAGACAAGTGCCTGTCTGACACCCTACAAATATTTACAACATTATTGATTATATTCCCCAAACTGTCTTTCATATCCCTGTGGCTACCAATTTGTGCTGTCTAATCCCCTCACCTTCTCCCTCGTCCCCAGCCCCCGCCCATCTAGCAACTATCAGTTTTTTCTTTATATCTCTGAGACTATTTCTGTTTAGTTTGCTCATTTATTCTGTTCTTTAGATTCCACTTCATCATTATTTCTTCAAATAGGTTTTCAATTCCTTGCTCGCTCTCTTCTCCTTCTGGTACCCCTATGATGCAAATGTTGTTACATTGATTTTGTCCCAGAGGCCCCTTAAACTCTCATCTTTTTTCTTTATGTTGTTCTGATTGGTTGTTTTATGCCACCTTATCTTCCAAATCACTAATTTGATCCTCTGTTTCATGTAATCTGTTGTTTCCCTCTAATGTATTTATTTCAGGTATTCTTCATTTCTGACTGGTTCATTTTTATGTTTTCTATCTCCATTTTTGTTTCCTATCTCTTAGTTGAAGTTGAGTTCATCTATTCCTCCCCTAAGTTCATTGAGCATCCTTGCAACCAGTGTTTTGAACCCTCCGTCTGGTAGATTGCTTGTCTCCATTTTGTTTAGTTCTTTTTCTGGAGCTTTGTTCTGTTCTGTCATTTAGGACATGTTTCTTTGCCTTCCTGTTTTCGCTGCCTCCCTGTGTTTGTTTCTGTATATTACATAGAGCTGCTATGTCTCCTATTCTTAGTAGAGTAGCCTTATGTAGTAGGTGTCCTGTGGGGCCCAGTGGCATAGTCTCCCTGGTCACCTGAGCTGGGTGCTTCAAGTGTGTCCTTTGTGTGGGTTGTGTGTGCCCTCCTGTTATAGTTGAGCCTTGGTTGCTGTTGGCATATCAATGGGAGGGATTGACCCTTGGGCTCTTTGGTTGTGAGGACTGATTGTGACTACAGTAAAAGAGCTGTTGTGCAGGGGCTGACCTTACAGAACAGGATTAGCTCTAGCAGGGCTCTGGTGTCTGCCCAGTCTGCCTTTTGGGTGTCGTTTGTGGAGGTGGTTGGGTGGTGCTCTTTTGTAGCCTGAAGCTGGCCATCAGGTGTGTTCATTTTGGGGCCTCTTGGGAGGGGCTCTGTTGCAGGCCAAGGTTAGCCACTATCTGTGTATGTGGTATGAGCTACAAAGTGATCGGCAAATGGTTGCCATTTGGGCTTGGTTCGGAGGTGCTGGCGAGAGGCTAAGCTGCAAATCAAGTCTGGCTGCCACTAAGCCGGGCTTGGGGTTGTTTAATAAGAAGTATGAGGTACACCGAGGCTAGATGCTACTTGTTTGGTGTTTGTGAACCTTTGAGAGACTTTAGGAAAGTCCACAGCATGAGCCAAGTCAGGCCATTTGTATGGGAAAGCCACTGGAAGCAGTTTGGGTAGGCCCTCAAGTTTGGTAGGCGGGGTCTCAGGGAATCACCAGGACATGTTAGCCATGCCCTGTTATGTTGATGTTAGGTTGATGGAGATTTAGATATGGCACCTGCCTGTGTCCACATGCTAAGCAGGGGGAGGAAGGACTAAACAAAGGAATACTGGCTTCTGCCAGCACTTCTGTCTGGGAGAAAGCCACCCCTCTAGCCCTCATCATGAAGCCAGGTAATTCAGTTCCTCTGCATATATCCCTGGTGCCTTTGGGCAGCTCCCCAGCGCTGGAGCTCAGAGTAGTGAGTCAGTCAGTAAGTCCATGTGGGGACCATTTTAAGAGGATCGCCGGGGACTGCAGCTGCCCTCCGGCTTACTCAACTGCAATGTCCTCTGGGTTTCCCAGCCAGAAGTTATGGGGACTTCTCTCCCTGGCACTAGAGCCCTGGGTTGGGGAACCTGGTGTCCGGCTTGGACCCCTCGCTCCTCGAGTGATCTCCACAGACAATATATACCTCTCATTTTTTAAACGCCACACTTGGGTGTGGGATCAGCCTGTTCTGCATCTTCGCGCCTGCTACTAGTCTCGATGTGGCTTCCTCTCTAGATCCTTAGTTATAGGACTTCTTCTCAGCTAGACTTTGGGTGATTCTCACTGAAGGTTGTTCTGTAGTTTAGTTGTCATTTTGAGGTGGTCATGGGAGGAGGCCATCACAACATTTACCTACTCTGCCATCTTGACTGGAAGTCCTGGATAGAAGTTTGTACAGTAAGCTTTTATTCATTGTAACAATTGTTATTGATAATAATTTCATATTTTTATTTGATTTTGATATTGATAATTGATAAAAAATTATCATTGTAGAAAATTGCAGAAAACATGCTGAACAAAATGAAAAGCACCTGTGACACGACTTCGTAGAAATAACCACTATTAACATTTGGATATATTTTTTATTTTATTTTATTTTTTTAAGATTTTATTGGCGAATCAGGGAAGGGGAACAGACAACTTGCTGTCCTTTTGTTCTTCAGTCTAGTTGTGGAGGATGTTGCTTCATTGGCCCATATTGGTATGATCATTGCGCTCTTCCCGGGTGAGGCAGTTGCTCGCCGGCCATTTGGACAGCTGCTCACGGCGGCCCATGAAAGCTCACTCCTGCTGCCGGCCAGCCCCACTGCAGCTTACGCCATCACTGGCGCCTCACAGCAGCCCAGCTCCAGGTCAAGCTGTTGTTCACCATCTTAGCTGTAGAGGGCACAGCGTCACTGGCCCTCATGTGGGATCCGAACTGGGGCCCTGCTGCTCAGAGCTGGTGTTCCAAGCCAACTCCTAACCAATGCACCACTCGACTGGCCCCTGGATGTATTTTTTTATAGCCATCTTCACCCTGCCCGATACCCTGTATTTTAGCAAAATTGCAATGGTATTGTGTATAAAATTAAGTGTTTTGATTATTTTATTTATCATTAATTAAACCAGGAACATTTGATCCCATCCCTAGCTGTACTTTAATAACTATATAATTCTGCTCAGCACTGTACTATAATTTATTTAGAACTTGCAATTTTTAGGTTAATTATAATATTTTGCTATCATAAATCAACTTCCAGATAGCTATCTTTATGCGTATGTCTCTGCATTTCTAATTACTTCTTTAACATAGATTCCTAGAAATGTGATTATTAGTTAAAACATATCTGACATACCTCTAAAAGAAAGGGCCACTTGGCAGTTTATAATTTCACTGGATCCTCAGATTAATTACACAGATAATGAAGTAGGGAGGGAACATATCACTGCTAACTAGGAGTAAACACGACCTGTGATCTGGTGACTCTAATAACTCAGAACTCTTGCTGGGTCCTGGTCTGCTCTCTAGTGCGTTCACTTGTTTGAGGAAAGAGGATGGAATTATCAGTAGACAATATGTGTCATAGCCATAGTTGCTGTGTGCTTAATAGTGTAAGGGCTTTTGTGTGTTTTGTATGTATGAAGATGAGAAGAGCTAACATTACCTTTGTGGTACCTTGTCAATGAAATAATAGTAATTATTGCTGCTTACTTGCTATCGCTATTATGAAATTCCAGTTTTTCTCCTAATATTGCAGTATGCATTTAGCCTTTCAGATTCAACCTTCCTAAAAAGTTTTCGATCTGTGCTAGCTAAATTAGATTTAATTAAAAAAAAATCCTAGTTGTAAATTAGTAGTTAGCAGGGAGTGAGAGGGGAGATGGGTATGGCTATAAAAGGGCAGCCCGAAAGATTGCCATAGTTTTGGAACTGTTCTGTATCTTGACTGTGGTATATGCATGAATCTCCACATGTGATAAAATTTCATAAAACTAAATAAACACATATAGAAATGAGCACGAGTAAAACTGGGGAAATCTGAATAGGATTGGTAGATTGTTTCCATGCTGATATCCTTTCTGTGATATTATGCTATATATAGTTTTGCAGGATTTAGTTACCATTAGGGGAAACAGGGTAAAGGATTCATTATTATGAACCCTTTGCTGTATTATTTCCTATAAATTGCATGTGAATCTGTAATGATCTCAACAAAAATGTCAATGAAAATTTTTTTCCGAGTTCTGAAAATGGGTAATTTTCAATAGTGTGGTGGTTCTTTTTTTGCTCAGTGAAAAACTTGAAATCAGATTGATATTCACAAGTACTATGTTTTATCCATATATTTTTTTCAATAAGCTTGTCTACTGTGAACAGAAGGGACAAATGCTTTTTAAAATTTCACTGTAAGTTTTTTAAAATGTGAACTAATTTTTTTCTCTCACTTTCAGCCATGAAGACTTTGAATTTATTTCTGGAACACGAATGCGCAAACTTGCTCGAGATGGCCAGAAACCTCCTGAAGGCTTCATGGCTCCCAAGGCCTGGAATGTGCTGATGGAATACTACAAATCCCTGGAGAAAGCCTAAACTGTGTAGCAGTCCCTCCACCTTTGACACTTCCCCGAGTAACCAGAGGGGACCACGTAGTTACTGTTGGCATTTCTTTGTGGTCGTGTCTGCCTTGACACAAGTTCTAAAAACAGACCATTTTCCTTAACTCAGTTTTGGTCTGCTTTACGAGTCCTGTTTTGAACTAGTGTAACACACTGTTGGTTTTAATGTATCTTTTTCACTCATTATACTTAATATTCCTACAATACAATTTTAAAATCTTGTCTTTTTATATTTATGCTTCTGTCTCATGAGTTTTTCAAGCTGTTATGTTAGTCGTAACCGATAGTATACATGTTAAATACCACTTTTCATCCCTTGATAAATGAAAAAAAAATCCACTAAACAGTAAACAGTAAACTTTACTAGACCTTGTTTTGGGAATTTTACTAGACATCTGTAGCAATTAGATTTTTTTTTCTATGTTAAAAATACAAACTGTTTTCCTTCCTTCTGATAAGCTATTGATCTATTATCTGGCACAATCTAAAGTATTCCTATGACCTGTATAAGCCCTGAATGAACTTTATTCAATAAAATTAAACCTTTTGGCTTATTTATGTGATACTTTGCATTTTTATTTTATTTATTTATTTTTACACATACTCTTTCCTTTTTGTGAAAAGTTTCTGTTGGAGGAGGGAAAATACAGGCATCGTTCATTACTAGAATCTAATAATTAATTTTTAACACTACGTTTCATAGTCAATTTTTAAGTAGAAAATGATAATGTGTTCTCAGCCTATCTACAACCTGAACCTGTTTCCCCAAATATCTCCAAAATTCTAAACACGTAAGATGGTTGTACCAGTAATAGGAAATGATGAGGGACATAGGTGGATGTCGACTAGTCCATTTTTTGGAGGGGAGGGGCAGTATATCAAGTTTGATTTTTGTGGACTATCCTCAAGTTGAGTGTTCAAATGGAGATGCTTATTTTGGAGCTGGATATACAATTTTGGTTGAGATGCCAGCATTTTTTATTTGCAATCATACTTTCAATGTTGAAATGATCCTGTATGATCTGGCCTTGAAAATTCAGCATTATAAAGAGGTGGCAGATTATATACATGAATGTAGTATACACAGTCTGACAGTTAAGTTTGTGAACTTGTTGCAGTGATGTTGCTAACCTTTTTTGATATCAGAGGGATTATTCATTATTCATAACTGGACAAACAGTTAACCAAGTTTACTATTTGGAAGTGCTGAAAAGGCTGTGGGAAAAAGTTAGACAACTTAAGCTTTTCCCCAACAATTCATGGCTCTTGCATCACGACAGTGCACCAGCTCACACAGCACTGTCAGTGAGGGAGTTTTTAGCCAGTAAACAAATAATTATATTGGAACACCCTCCAAACTCACTTGATCTGGCCCCAATGACTTCTTTCTTTACCTGAAGGTAAAGGAAATATTGAAAGGAAGACATTTTGATGACATTAAGGTCATCAAGGGTAATATGATAACAGCTCTAATGGCCATTGCAGAAAAAGTTCCAAAATTGCTTTGAAGGGTGGACTGACTAGGCACTGGCATCGGTGCATAACTTCCCAAGGGGAGTACTTTGAAGGTGACTGAAATGATATTCAGCAATGAGGTATGTAGCACTTTTTCTAGGATGAGTTCGTGAACTCAGTTGTCCGACCTCATATTGTCATTAAGGCAAAAGGGAACAAGATACTACTAGAAAAAGAAAAGGAAAAATATCAAGAAAAGATAAAAATGAATCTTAGAGGGAACCAATTAGTGAGCAAGTAGATATATAGAAGAGAAATGGAAACTGAGTGGATATTTTCTAGTGGGTAGATATATTCATTAGTGGATACTGAATAAAGATATTAGCAGGTGGTGCAGAGGATATATGGATGGATATGATTATGGGAAAAATTAGAGGTGATAGCTTTTTTGGTGCCACATTATCTGGATCTCTATTTAGGGATAACTCCTTTATGTAAGTCTACAAAGGTTAGAGAGCACCATACATTCTCCCTCTCCAACCACAGATTGCTTAAATGTGACACACCTCAACTCAACTAATTCAGAAACTCCCACCTGAAATGTTGATGTGTAGGAGGTGATGCAAAGATGTAGAATCAGTGACAATGAATCATGGTTTCATGGTGGCAGCGATAGAGTCAAGATCTTAGGGACAGTGAGTGTCTAGTGGAGGTGGCAACTGTGGCAATTGGGTCTTCTGTGCAGAAGTAGTATCCTGTCTAGAATATTCCAATGACCTGACCTTGGCTGAGTCCTCTGCCACCAACCTTTTTGTTCGTGACCATTTTCTAATCCTCATTCTCTTGCATTTTCTATCAATTCTGTAAGAGACCCAACAGCCTTCCGATAAATCCCATTGTTATCTAAATTATCTGGAATTTCTATCGTTTGCCACTGAATACCCTGATTGTAACAGGTGGGATGTGAAAAGTATTTTACATTAAAACCATGTTACTGCTAAATTTCAAGATGATTTTTCCAGTCAGCAGCATTAAAAGTTAAAAATAAAGAAAAAAAAATTTTTAAACTTGGCACTCAGAAAACTTAATATCCTTTCAAAACTGAAAAAAAATACACTCGTAAAGTCAAGATGAGAACATGAGGCGAAATCAAGATTAACAGCATTGGGGTGAAATGTGGTATAAAAACTAACCATGTTCTACTGGGTAATTGTCCCTTTTGAGTCTAGTTCCCACTGTGCCCCTGGCCTCCAGCCCACCAAAGAGGGACATGATGAAAACATGATTCTAGGTTCCTGTGCTCTTGGGATCGGCCACCCACTTGTGTGTTCCAGAGAGTTGGGGAAGCAATTGAAAGCCTCCAGTGATTTCCACCAGCCCACAGGTTGGTATGTGTGCCCTTAATCTATAAATCTGATAGAGTCAGAAATTGTTTTTCTTCTTCCCAGTTCATGAAAATGAGCACAAACCAATCTTTAAAACATTCAACCCCTTACACCAAACTTCTGCCAAGATATCTTGGAAATCTCAGTGCCATTTTAATCTATCCATCAGCTGGAAAAGGGAATGGAAAAATAATTGTTTTTCTTTTAAGGAGGAGAAGAAAGTGCAATCATCTTGGCAGAACTATAATGTCTTATATCTGTCAAAGCTCTATTCCACTATGATAATCAAGACCACATATTTGAATTTCGTTGCCATCCATAGAGGAGCAATTATGTCTATCTCTTGGAAGTCAGCATTCAGTTACTTGATCAAGAAAATTTCAGAAGTCATGCTTCTCACATATGGTATATTTCTATTAGCACGTATGTGTCCAGGGGTGGGTTGACTCACAAAGTAAGTATTTGCCTACTGGAACTCTTATGTGTGGGGTATATTTCTTAGAGGGCCTACAACCTCTTTGGTTATATTTCTGCTGGATTCCAATCCCTATTCCACATAGTCTTGTCCTGAATGTAATTATATATAAGTTGTGCAAAAAACATGCTGCTCACCTAACTTCCACTCAGTTTTTTTCTGGACCGAGATAAAAGCTAGCCTCCTGAAAGATAAGTACTTGAGGACTATACTTGATCAGGGTTGTGTGCAGTTTGAAGTCTCCTTCTTATCCCGACTTCCTGCTTCCCCAGATTCCCAAGGAAAATGGCACCAGAATTTAGGGCCTAGATTTGAGGATCCGAAATAGAAAACATGGGAAATTTCATCATGGATCTTTATCTCTGGACCTGTGCCAGCACTGAACATCCATATGATCTGCATTTGTTAAGAAAAAGGAGACCTCCCTACTGAAATGAATTAGAACACCGACTCCCTCGCTGCTTTTCCTCCTACAGCGCTGGCTCATCCTCCTTGAAAAGTGTTAGTTCTCCCCAAGAGCTTAACTATTCTTACTGCCCAAGAGCACGTAGGCATCTGTTAAAAGCAAACATATATAGTGCTGGGGCCTCGCTGCACAATCAGGTCCCCAAGAAAAAACAGCCAAGTTTGAGTGATTCAAAGGAAATTCTGAGTTATGTTTAACACAGCTGGACCCCACTGCCGGACTGCCCAGCACCTGCCCCAACTGACTTTCAACCTCAGTGTGTTTCTGTGGTATTTTGTGCCACCTACGGGCATATATATTCTATATAGGCACATACTAGGAATTTAACTTTTGATCTGTGTGGGCAAATTCCAACGGTCAGCTGTTAAATAATTTTCAGTAAGAAAAGTTTAGTTATCTAGGAGGTATTTTGGCTTACACAGAGGCACAAGCTTAAGGGAGAGTATAGTTTTGAGGTTAAGTACTCAGGCTCTGAAGACAAACGTGACCAATTCTTTGTTGGTTGTGTGACCTTGAGATTTCCTTTTCTGTGGAGTGAAGGTTATAGTCAGGAGTTTGTGTAAAGCACTGCTGTAGTAGTATTATTTCATTTAAAGATGTAGTCTTTTGACCAAGGAACGGTGATACCAATATTTATGAGACGAGACCATGTAATCTTTGCTTCACAATACCGTTCTCTAGCCCACTGAACAAAGTAACTGAATAGAAATATATGTCAGATACAAATCAAGGTGTTCAAAGCACAGTATCCCTGGTTCAGCCAGTTTTTTTCCTTGTGTCCAACTTCTGTGTTTCCTAAATTAAGAAAAAGTATATTTTTGCAAAGAGAGAAAAATACACAGAAAAAATATACACATTTGCCTAAAGCAAATATAGACTAATTCAAATGCAAAAGAACAATCATTGGAAAAATGATAGCACTTTGGAAAGTGGAATCAAGTAGAAGATATATCTTAAGAGAAGTGGAAGATTGAAATTGGAAAGATACCATGTTTCCCCGAAAATAAGACCGGGTCTTAAATTAATTTTTGCTCCAAAAGATGCATTTTATTCATTTATTCATGTATAAAAATCTACATTTATTCAATACAGTCATGTCTGGCTGATGATCTTAACTGGGGCTTATTTTGGGGGAAACACGGTAGTTTATTCTCAACATTACGTTTAATGAGGAAGGCCTAATTAATGTGGTCAATAGTTGTGTTAAAGCTGCATTTACAAGTGCTACACTTTTCACATAAAAAGCTGAGTTGAGCTTGTTGACATCCATCTCTCCATCTCTGATCAAAGCATAAAATATTAAATATATTTATTAGAATTGGAACTATGAGTGGTACTTCACATACTAGCTAACTATTTGTATCTTCTGTGGATACAACAGGTATTAAGGTATGAGGATTATGAAATACAAAATTGTATGTTTCCCGGAGTTTTCTACAGTTTTTTTTTTCTGCTCATATGGTCAAAAGGTCTCACAGCTAAGAGAAGGATGAGGGATAAAGACTAGCACAAGATTTAAATTTATCTTGAATAAATATAATAAAAATCTTAACAGCTAACATTTACTGAGTGCTTACAATCTTAGTTGCTAGACACTGTGGTAAGTGCTTTATATGTATTATTTTGTGTAATGCTTGAAACAATAACTGGCATAGTAAGGAATATTGCCAAGAAAGGAGAAGGGAAAATGTTTTAAAATGAGAATTGAAATAAGAATTAAAAATATTTTTTAGAAGTGAAATTAAAATTAAACTTTGATAAAGTAGTTGAATA